CCCCCCCCCGCCCCGGCCGGCCGTTTAGTTCCCGACGAGCGTTTGCGCGCCGGGGTTTGCCGGTTCCGCCCGGCCGTGCGCTGCGGGGCGCGTTTGCCGAGCCCTCTGGGGCGAGAGCTAGCTGTACTCCTCGATCCCGCCTGCCAGTTGCCTAACTTGTCTGTAGTTTTAGCTCTGTTTCTCTTTTATGTTGTAAGCGTCTCTAGCTTTGGTCTCGTAAGGATTCTGGCTTATTTCTATAAGGAGGAAAATTTGTCAGCATAATCCATTTTGTAATTTACTTCCCCGTGCCTCCAACGCCGTTTTATGGACTGTACGCAAAGTAGAATTCGTAGTGAAGCTAGCACTGATTTGCAAAGGAAACTACTTCAACTAGTTTTTTACTAGCTTCACAAGTTATTCATAAATTCCTCAACGCTTTTCACCATCGGATGTGCTCAAGCTTTCAAGAGATTTACTTTTGCTGTGTTGCTCTTGGGAGGTGTCGTGAACCAAATTGAGAGTCTGTAGCATTAGGAGCCGATGGAGCACTCCTACCAGCTGCTGTGGGGCTGGCATCCGGCTGACCTGCTCCTCTTGTTCAAAGTTCCCGAGTTGTTTAGGAAAAAGAGGAAAAAGAAGAACCACTGAGTAACTGATATCTGAAAGACAGTTTGAAAAGTGCTGTAAAGGTGGGCTTAATTTACTATATGATATTCATGAATTGATTGTGTTTTGATTTGTCTTGATTTTGTTTTAAATACTTGTTTCTCAGATCTTCTAAAGTTGGCAGTCTTTTCCGAGATACAGGGGAAACAAACAAACAAAACCCCAAGAAGAAAACCAGTTTTATAAAATTACAACTTTGTGCTGAAGTAGTTTTGTTGAAAATTGATCACTTAAATAATTGTTAAAGACACATTTACTTTCATTATGGAAGTGATACACTAACTCCAGGCCTTTTATATTGCCTTGCTGTGTTTCTTGATTTTTATTTTTTTTGTTCATTTTCAGTGAATTATTGCTACCACTTTAATTTATATTAAATGGGACATTTTGGTGACAGGAGTAGCTTATATTTTATTTGTGAGAAAAGACCCCATATGTCTGCTTACATTTCTGGAGCTATTAGCTGCCTGCAGAGAGAGTCCCCGTTAAACCTGAGTTCTTACACTGAAGTACTTTCAAAAATACAGAAAGTTTCTGTTTTAAGAATGCAAACAAAATGCCAGGCTAACTGTAATTACATTGTATTTCTTGTTCTTAAAATATTTTTTGAAGTAATCTGAATGGTAGCTTTTCCTCAGAACTGGACTGGTACTTGTGTAGAGGAAATAATTGGTTCAGAGGCCTGAAACTATCCTGTGAGTAGCTGAGGTTTGCTCTGAGGGTTAAGTGCATAAGGAATGCAGAATCAGGCCCTGGGACAGTAATGTGGAAAAGGGCATTTGTGTAGCATATGATCCTTCTTGGCTCATTCTGTTGCTGAGCTGCTTTTTCACAGGCTTTAAATATCTTGTGAGATGCTAGAAAAGAGGGCAATGTCTGCAAATGCAGTGTTTCCTTTCACAAATTATTTGAATTACAGGGGCCCACAAATACTTAACTCCCCTTTGCTGATTCCTATCTTTAAAATCAGTTCATAATTATAAAATGGTAACAATAGTTGTTAGTTTTGACCTTTTCTGGATGTGCCAGAGACAGGTTTTAAAACCTTGCCCTATATGAGATGTAGTTAACTCCTTTAAAAAAAGGACCAGTACAAATATTCGGAGACATAGCTGTCTAGCAGACAACTGGCATGCCTTTTATGGTGCTGATCTAGTGAGCTGCCTCTAATAAAATTTGAGAGCAATGATTTGAGAAACAAAGATATCTGTCTATATATCTATCTATCTATCTTTATATACAAGATGGGAGCTATTTGCTTATTCTGGTAAAGAAAGTTAATTATTCCTTGAGATCACTGTTTTAAGAAGATGCAGAAAGTCTTTGCCTGCTGTCATTTCCTATTAGCATTAGGAGTCAAGGGCACTTGGCAAGGTTCTTCTATTGGATCTCAAAGGTTGCTAGGGTTCAGTCTTTTTCCATCTGAAAGAGAAGGCAAGATTACATTGACCTGAATTTGAGCAAAATTGAGCCCTTAAAGTGTACTGTGCTGTATTCCTGCGTTATTTGCCTTGGCTTACGTTCCCAGAATATTCAAAATTTAAACTGGCAACAGTGAAAGATCAAAGTGCTCAAGGAGTAAAACATTTGATCCCACTTGTAGAAGTCCTTTTGATAAATTCTTAGTGTCATATTAAAAGTTAAATAATAGTTTGAGACCTTCTTGTTCTTTGTGAAAGTGTCTCTGGACCTGCTAACATTATGCAAGGTGGAAGCGTGTTTAAAAAATAACTGTTGACTACACTATAAGCACTGCTTACACAGCATCAAAACAGAGAAATGCGGCTGTATTGCTGCACGTTAGGAGGTGGCAAACTGCAGCATGGAAAGGGAGCGAGAGCCTGGGGTCAGAGGTGGGAGTTTCTTATGCTAGTTTTACTGCTGAGAAACCTTAATGTCCTGCTAGCGTGAGGGCTCCTGTGTAATCTGCAGGGACGCTAATGGGGACTGGCAAGCTGAAAAGAAGGTCACAAAGAGGAAGCGGGATACCCACCTTTTCCCGATGCATCTTCCTTCTGAGGCTTCGCTATCTAATCACACTAGCTCTTGGAGCTGCCTTTCCCACCAGGCAGGAATCCTGAATTTAGTTGCCACCAGGGAACTAGAATCTGGCCCTGGACTTTTGCTGAGACCCTCACCTGGCCCCGGCTCTGTCAAGGTCAAGAACGTCCTGGGCTTCTAGTCCGTTGGAGTACAGCTGCTTTCAGTGACAGAGAGATCATTGCAAGAAGCAGTCAGATAAATTCTATTTTCAGAACTTCTTCCTATATCTTTTCCAGCTCTCTGTGCTGCTGTGGTGAGTTTTGATAAGGTAGTTCTTTATGATTAAATACTACCATGAATAATAATTGCAGGATCTGCCCTTTGAATGTTTAATAATGCTAATACACAAGTTAAAAAATCCTCCTCCAAATACCCTAAGCATTTTTCATTTGGTAAATATACACTTGGAACAATGACAGACAATTCATTTATCAAATCTCTTTTCTAGAGGGCTCTTGACTAATGGGAGAAGCTACTTTGACAGTAACAATTTTAAACATATTCTGTAAAAATAAATCTATTCCTCTGGCAGCTACAGCCCATGAAGTCTGGCACTGGAAGGCATTATTGAGCCCCACAGTCCTTCCTCCTTCCAAGTTTTCAGATCCTAGAAATGGACCTTTTTCAATTATGACGCCAGATGAACTTGAGCCCTCTTCCTTGCACTGAGAGTCAGGCAGCTTTTTATCTTTTAGAAAATTTAGCAGAAAATTAGAACTGACTCCAGTGCATTTCTAAGAGATATAGTCATTGAGGGCCTAGTTCTGCTTTCTTTTTATGCTTTGTGAAGTGCAGCACTCTGTAAATGGTCTCTTTGAAGCAGAATGTTTTCTGAGGAATTTACAATTCAGTATGAATAAATATATCAGAATAAGGCCTGCATTACTCCTGGGTACTCATTTTTATATTCTCTGGCAGTATTAATTAAATTTTTATACTTTATTTGTTTTTGCACTAGAGCTTGTGGTGATGAGATTGTTGCTTTTAAGTTATTTAAGGGTATCATTAGGATTAAGAAACGATTTTACTCCAACAACTTAGCTTTTGACTTTAAAGATATCACAGGATCAGCTCTTTAACTCATTTCTTGAGGCTAAATCACGGTCTTTAGCATAATGGCTATGGAAGTCATACAGAAAACTGAGTCTGGAATATGGAAAAAAAATTTGAGGCTGCATAGTCTAGCAGCTTGTGTGTTGCCAAGGGACTTGATACTGGGACCTTCAACACCCGGGTTCCCTTCTTATTTCTGCCAGTGATTTGTTGCATCATCTTGGGCAAACTACTTCAATTTTCTGTTCCTTTGCCTTACCTACTTGCTGGTCAGTCTTCAGGATTTCAGAAGCCAAGTTCCAAAAATGTCAGTGTGCAGGAAAAAACTCTCCTGTTGCATCTTCTACCGTGCTCCCGTTCTACCAGCCCACAACCCCTTCTCCCGGTACCCTGCCTGTGTCTCCTTTCCCTTCTACCCAGCATCAGGGGACTTCTCAAGTCCTTGTACTTCCCCCATACAAGCTGCACCCACCTGTGCGACTGAGTCCTCTCCACCTCTTGCACCTTTACTTGTATTTTCCTGTATCTGTTCTCACAGTCCACCCTGGCAAGAGGCTGCAGCTTGGGAGCCAGGCTGGCCTGCTTGTAACTAGGCCTCCATCACAAGCGCTTGTGGCATGGCAGCTTTTTTTCTGCTTCATGTTCTCTCTCTCTGTCTCTGTCTCTCTCTTTTTTGTTTTTTCCTTCCAGCTAAAGGTGATGTCATGAGGAGTAGTTCTCTCCTGGCTCCAGAGCTATTCCATTGGTCACAATCTTTAAAAGCTGTATTCCCAAATCTTTGGAGGGGTTTCAGGAATCTTTATTTTTGAGAAAAGCCTGTTTAGATTTATTTCCTCCATGCAATTACACGAACTTTTTTTTTCCCCTCGTACTTTTTTTAGACTCTTCCTTTTAGCATACATATTTTAAATGTACCTATTTTAAATGTGCCGGTTGGACACTTGGCCCTGTATAAGGAGGATCAGGTTCTGGGAAAGGATTTCAGGATGCAGTTCTGCATTTTAAGGAATATAAAAGAATGTGCTCTGATCAGGCAGTGCTTTGTAAAAAGCCTGCTGGGAGCATGGGAGGTACAGGGAGGAGGGCTGTTGAGTCAGCTGCACAGAAAAAGAGCTGCTCTCTTAAAAAACATCTGTGTTCTTGCACTGTTTGGATCTTGCAAGGGGGACAGACTCCAGTGCTCCCATGTAGCCTGTTTCAACATTTGGGTTTATGCACCTCAGCTTGTGAAGGATGCACTGACCTTTTTTTGAGGTGAAAGCTTTGCTGAGCCTTAGGGGGTAGGAAATAGAAACAGGAGAAGTAGGAGAGAATTGTGCAATAGGGGATGGAAGGCAAAAGGTCATCTTTGGAGCTGTGGTAGGACAAGTCAGGAGAGTGGCTGTTTCCCCGAGGCTTGCTGATGTGGTACATGATGAAAGAAAGGAGGCCATGTGTTAAAGAAAGTACCAGAGAGATGACAGGAGAGGAGAAAGAAAGTATTTCCAAAGCCAGAGGACTGTCTGCTTCTGAAAGTCAATGAGCTGAAAACTCAACTGCTCTGCTGCTCCACGATTCCTCCTCTTCTCTGCCTCCTGGCCTGTTTGGAGATTTGCAGGTAGAAAATTCAAAGGTAAAACTTGTTGGCAACATCTGTTTCATCTCAAGAAGTGGCCTTTGGAAGGAAACCGCTCCTTGTGACCACCTTGGTATGTCTGAAGAATTGTGTGGAAATGTTGCTGGTGGCCACTAACTAGTTCTGTGAAGGGCATTTTCAGAAACTCAGTCATACTGGAACAGGATCAGTCCTGTTCCATTAATGTAGAAACAGGGTCTGGGAAATGATAGCCCAAATCAGCTTTTAAGGAAGGAGAAACTTACTGCTCCTTGTTCCCTCAAAATTCTCTAGCCCTGCTGTCAAGGTGAATCTGTGCTATGTTCCCCATCA